TATTTGTTTTGTTTTCTTTGTTAATAAATATATTGTTATACGAAAGCTCTGTGTCTGTGGTCGCTGTCAGTATCCATGACGTCACACCTTGCTCACCCTCCTATCGTTACTCCTTACTCACACATACGTACACTTACACCCACTACACTACCGCATAACATTTTACGCTCGGGAGCTTAGAACTTGTCCTGGCTGGGGTGGTGCCCGCTCGTGGGAGACTCGCAATTCGACATGTAGGACGCGCCGGATCCAGGGGGAAGAGCACGTCCACCTCCCGTGATAAACATTCACTACACTTCGTGTAATAATGATCGTATCAGTTGTCGCGCCCGGAAGCACGAAATATTGAAGAGTGCAAGGCACGCGGAATAGTTGATGGTCAAGTAAAAGGGCCCGTTTCGTTTCGGCGGAGGCGCGTGGGGATGGCCTGCTCACCTGCGCCGCGGCGGCCGCGCAGCGCGGGCACTCGAGGTGCGAACGGCGGCGCGGCGGCGGGCGGCCGGCGTCGCTCGCGGACGAGCGCGAGTGCGTGAGGCGCCGGTGGTGGCCCCCGCCCCCGCCTCCGCAGCCGCCGGCGGTCGAGCCGCGCCGCACCATGCGCCCCGACGTCAGCGACTCGCCCGTGTTGGCCCGCGCGCGCGCCGGCGGCGCCTCGTCCTCCACCTGCAACACACACAACCACACATCCTCATTCAAAATTAAAACATTTACGATCAAAATTTAATCAACACATATTCAAAATTAAAACATTAATGTTTAAAATTCCATTAATTATTAATTAACACAATCGTTCTTCTGGAAGATGATGTTCTTAATCTTTTATTGTATCAACTATCACAAAGTTTCAAGTAATTAATATTTCTTAAAATCGCAAAACTTCCGCCTGAAAGTAGGCCCTCTTTTCCCTGTGCCCGCCCGCATTGCGGACCTTGCGGGCCCGAACGTCGCGCCACTGCATTAAGATGTACTATACTCTAGTAAATTTAACATTGTCTAAAAGAGAAATATTTCGTATTAACATTAACATCTAAAAAAAATACCACAAATGTCAAAAGCATAGAGAAAAAAACTGGAACACATGCGGAAATAGCGATTGCAGATTTGAAATCTGTGTGAAATAGCCATGAAGAAATAAAATATTAGACATAAAAAATTACCTCAGACCGGTGTTATTTTTTCTCTGATTAATAACAATGTTTTCAGTTGTAATCCATAATTACAATTAAGGCTGAATGAACTCTTTTGATGTATCATTAATTCTGAGTTCAGCACACGTAAAAACACATTTTGCATATTGCTTGCCTGTGAACAGTCTACACATTTGACAACCTGAGCGTTGTGGTTTTCTTGTTCCGGAGGCTCTTAACACATTTGCCTCACGTATTCTTGGCTATCCGGGATGAGCCGCGAAAACTCTAAGTTTCTAAAGTTTCATTTCGTATTTCCTTTTGTGAGCAAGAACACTACTAGTAATTTCCAAGAACTTGAATTAAATGATACCCACTAGGATTGCAGCAAGAATGAATGAATTGACAATCGAGTTTGTCGATGAAATTGTCAAAAATTTTAAGGTACGTATATATTCCTATTTTACGTTGTAATAATTTTTGTATATTAGGTTATGGGCAATGTTGCATTTGGGCACTAAACCAGCTCAAGGTAATGTAAATGAAATTAATTGTAAAATTCCCTTAGAAGCAT